CCCGGATGGTTTCAGCGGAAGAGTATGGGCATCAAAGGGGATCTGAGGGAACTCTCCTGGATAGTTGCCAAAAAATTAAGTCCCTATGGTGCAAGTTAGATCTATTTTTTGTTAAATACCTATTACCTGTGGAACTTTTAATTAGGAAAAAAGAAATCTAAACGCACATTACTTATAATCTTGTTATGTCTCTTTTTTTTCTGAAATTTATCGCTTTTATGCAACTGCCTGGATAGCATCTTACTCAGTGAATCTTGGCACAATTACAGAAATAAAAATGAACAGTAATTTTTTAGTCTTTAATAAACAAGATTATTTCATGTACACTCTTCCATAACAATAAATAATCCAATGCGTTTTTGGTTGGGTAGTACCTAAGAGAAAATATAACTGGGTACATCCATACCACTGTAGTGGTCTATTATGTGCACCTCAACATGGTGAGACAAGAGGGAGTTCAGACCCATATGTTCAGATGAGTAGTCTATTATTCTGGTCTTCTAGAAGATCATTATGAAATTGATTGCTATCATATCACTGTCTTGAACCAAATCAGATTCAAAATCAGATAAATCATCAACTTNACCTATTACCTGTGGTAATAAATAATCCAATAAATAATCCAATGCGTTTTTGGTTGGGTAGTACCTAAGAGAAAATATAACTGGGTACATCCATACCACTGTAGTGGTCTATTATGTGCACCTCAACATGGTGAGACAAGAGGGAGTTCAGACCCATATGTTCAGATGAGTAGTCTATTATTCTGGTCTTCTAGAAGATCATTATGAAATTGATTGCTATCATATCACTGTCTTGAACCAAATCAGATTCAAAATCAGATAAATCATCAACTTGCACGAGAGTAACTGTTGATCATAACGGTTTTCATGAGTAAGTTTCCCCACAATACATATCTGCCGTGCAGCGAAAAAACACCGTAAACGCCATTTAAATTTTTTTGGAAACAATGTGTCATAGCAGAAAAACACGTGTACTATAGGACCATATTTTTACAGAATTCTTTCTCAATACTATCAAGAATTTAACATGAAAATTTGAGGTGCATAGGTAAAACAGTTTTTATTGTATAAAGTGTAAAGTTTCAAAAATCGGGGGAAAGTATTGATGGATTTATGGCGCTTTTACTTAGCACGGCAGATCTGGGCAGTCAATTGTATTCCTTTCAGTAAGCAAATTCAAATCTAATTTCATGTTTCATACAGGAGAATGTTGCTGGTAAATACCTCATAAGATGTAAATTTATATGAGGATTAGGCAGCTGCTACGGCGAGCCACTAAGGAACAGTGGCTGAATTGGATCAAAGGCTTTCAGATATGCGTTAGGAGATATATTTGAGGATAATTTTCTACGATTTTGAAACTTGAATCGCATGATGACATCAAGATTATTTAGATTTCAGTTAATTGCGCATTAGCGAGGATCGGATCAACGATTCGAACTCATGAAACAAAGGAAACCGAGTTACCTTGATCTTGGTTGAATCGCACGCTGATGATTCCTCTGGAATTGGAAGTCATTGTACAATTGACTAAGTATGGCTGTGAAATATCATTCAAACACTGAAAAACTTGTAGCTTTCAGCGTAGAAAAAACACTGATTAAAACCATTTATAAATACGAAACGATGATAACAGTTTTCGAGAATCTCGCTGTAGAATGTAAACACAACACCCGATCAGCTGTGTTATGATTCATGAACACAGTTGTCAAATGAGCATTAAAATTAATAATAACGTGAGTGCAGTGCGCTTTCAAGATTCCAACTCTCACATTTTCGAAAAGTTTAATTCTTTATCGAGTCCTGATAAGTAAATATGCAGTCGTCGCGGTTATCTTTCACAATATTTGGATTTTCACTGATAATTTCTTCATAGTTTTGGTTACTTTGACGATTTGACGGTTGCGCGAACGCCGTATCAACATAGTATACTATTCTACAAACAGAGAGCGCTGTGTGCACTGCACATCCACTGCTGCCAAACTGCTGCTTTGTCAATTATATTGGAAGTTGAAAGATGATTGGAAGTAACGCTCGCTCGTGGACAGGGTTGCAATTTTCAGGGGGAAAAAATTAAGATCGGAGATGAAATAGCATGAAATTTCAGAGGTTAATGAAAAATACTTCTCAAGCCTGAATGCAAAAAATTATGTTTTCAGTTCTTCGGTTGTATTTGAGGCGTGTTGCATATCCAGCCCCTGAAAATATTTTACATGATTTGTCACAACTTAGAGAAATTTCATGAAGTATTTCAAGGAAAATTCCAATCTTTCAAATTTTTCATCTCACTTTTACGCAACTCTGTCCAAATATACGAGGCATACGTCCGAGTCGTATTATTAAAGATTTAATCGGCTAAAGGCGTAATTGTTAAAGGACCAGGGGAGGGGGAAGGTGCCTGCCCGGCAGCCCCTGGGGGTTGGACTTCTTAAATGTCAGGTGGAGCAGCCCTCAGTGGGTCGGGCTCTTTGGATGCCGAGGGGGGCAGCCCTTGGCGGTTGGGCTTCTTGGATGCCAGGGGGAGCACCCCGAGGGTTGGTTTGCTTGGATTTCAAGGGGGGCAGCCCCTTGGAGTTGGACTTCTTTGATGTCAGGTGGGGCAGCCCTTAGTGGGTTGGGCTCCTACGATGCCAAGGGATGCAGCCCCTGGGGGTTGGACTTCTTGGATGCCAAGGGGGGCGGCTTGAGAGTTGGGTTGCTTGGATGTCAGGGAGGGCAGCCCCGGGGGGTTGGACTTCTTGAATGCCAAGGAGAGCAGCCCCTGGGGATTGTACTTCTTGGATGCCAGGGGATACAGCCCCGGAGGTTTTGCTCCCTAAAAATTACATATCACATTGCTGAAATTTGTACCCTGTTGCCTGGGCCAATGATTTGCCTTCAATTAGCCGGGTATGCATAACTATCGTCGTGACGCACGAATGGTTGTATCAGAAATTTGCATTAAGATTACGGAGTGGGTTGAAGGCGCTCTTCTGTATCCTATCTGAGTGGCTTGAAACCGCGATTTGTTAAGATTTTTTTGCGATAAAATCGCTAGGATCATCAACATCTGAGCGATTATTCTCAACCTTGTCGCGATTTTATCTCAATAAATTCGCGTTCAATAGAATCGAAATTTTATCTCAATTTATCACGATTTTTGTCAGATGATATTGCGATAAATCACCGTCGATAAAATCGCGATTTTGTTCCAAAATGCGATGAAAATCCTCCGATCAAATTACAACTTATCACGATCACTGCTACTTGGGTTCGATGGCCAAACTACGAAGCCACGTATCTCCGTTTGCGACGTTGTGGACTTCCTGTCATACTTGATTTTTTCTTTGGAAAACTAGTCAACGAAAGTTTTTGAAGACGTTATCATAATTTTCTTCTCTGTTAGCAAAATATTCTGTCAAAAATTTGAGCCATCAAGTTGACCTGTTTCACTTCAAAAACAAAAAAAAAAATAAAAAATAAAAAATGAAAAAGAAAAAAAAAAGGTACGGGGTTGGAGATTTTGAAACACCACGATGGAGGTACGTGGTTCCGCACTTTTGTCGTCAATATCGCCTTGTTACACTACAAATTGAGACGAAAAAAGAACCCGCATCTCCGGATTCACCTTCTACATGGCAAATTAATTTTCTACAGTTGATGTCTTTCATTCGGGAAACACACATTTAAAACTTTCCGCAGGTTTTAACTGAACCCAGGGCCGGATTCACCTACTTGCCGCCCCTTCACATTCGTTTTGAAACATCGATACAAGCCATCAAGTGAACGTGCCGGAGGAGGAGGAGTGCATAAGACGTATTTACTCGTGTTGGGCACATTTTTTGTGAAGCCCTGTCAACACTAGCAAAAGTTCGCGGAACTTTGCGCAAAACTTAAGTTCCGTAAACCTACCTCTGTGTGACCTTTCATTTATGAGAAAAGAACGAAAAAATTATGAAAGAATAAACATGAATGTGGTTTAATAAGTTTAATTTCCGCCACCGCGCTATGTGTTTGGCGCAATGCGTGAAATATTCATGCAATCTTGTAGGCACTATGCGTTTCACGCCAACCGCCGCTGACCGCACTACGTTTGGCGCAGTGCGTGAAGTATTCTTAGAGTCTTGTAGGCGCTAATATGTGTTTCCTTCTGACCGGCGCGCCGAGGGCTTCTCCTTTCCATCTCAAATCCTCCTCATCATTGCTCTCTGCGCCGCGCCGCTCCAGGCCAAATTGCATGTTTGGTTTCTCTCTCAACTAGACTAATGGAAGGCGCTGTCTCTTGTATCACCGAAATACGAACAAATTAGAAATTACTATACTTTGACTCTCAGGAAATGAGAGATTTTTTCGCCTTTTCTCGGTTGTAATTTTTTTTTCCTGAATCAGATTTTTTTCTTGATACCTAAATTTGAAAAAATTACAGCATTTTGCCGCCCCCTGTATTTGCCGCCATGGGCCATGGCCCATGTGGCTACTCCCTTAATCCGGCCCTGACTGAACCGATAACTTTGGAAGTCTATTGCCTGATGTAGTCCAGTTCCAGTTCGCCTTAAATTTCACTAAATAGGCAACAAACACATTTTTATTATACTGCATAAGTTTTAACCGAACCAATAACAATGATGGGAGGGAGAAGGGTGTTACCCCTCTCTAATGGTCAGCTATACTTATCGTCCCTCTATGAAGTGAAATAACTGTAAAGCGGAATCATCAATCTGTTGGCCATCAGAAAAAATATTCACAGATATTTTAACGAACGGTAACAAAAACAAACTAAAACTTTTGTAACCTGTTTGAACTTTTACTCTCTGTCTATTTTCCTTTTTTCCTCTTTCTTCCCTTTCTTCCTTTCTTCTCTCTGTATTTGGCTGAAAGAGGGGGATAGTACCCCCCCTCCCCTCATTGAGTCCGACAATGTCCGGAATAGGCGTGCTTAAGTCTGTCTTAAAGAAATCTCACTTGTTCCGAAGAGAATAAAACTAATCGTGCTCGGTAGATGTCCGTGTTGCATTTGCGAGAGATTGAAGGCCTTATGACTTTCCGCAGTATACTTATAATTGTACCCGACCGTAGTGATGAACACTGGGACACGTTGGCGACAATGCCTTAATGCAACTGTACAACCTCGACGGATGTCCGTACTGCATCCAAAAAATTGAAGGCGTTTTGACTTCCTGCGCACTAGCTGAAGATGTGACGATCGACAGACGCGGCTTGAAATTTATACAGAATTTTCTGTTAACAGAGAGGAAAAGTCACGAAGTTTTACGTTTTACGTTGACTCGTTTTCCGAAGAAAAGATGAAGTTTGACAGAGCCTGCAACGTCGAAAACGGAGATTCATGGTTTCCCCATCTGCCCATCGAGTTGTAAAAAGTAAAAAAATGAAGGCCTTTTGACTTTCTTTGCACCGCCTATATTCGTCCATAGTGATGAACACTAGGACGCGTTGGCGACAACGCCTTGATGCAACTATACAACCTCGACGGATGTCCGTATTGCGTCCAAAAAATTGAAGGCGTTTTGACTTTCTTTACACCACCTATATTCGTCCATAGTGATGAACACTGGGACGCGCTGGCGACAACGCCTTGATGCAACTATACAACCTCGACGGATGTCTGTATTGCGTCCAAAAAATTGAAGGCGTTTTGACATCCTGCGCACTAGCTAGTTGCAGCCAGAGACGAGTCTCTGAGTTGCAGCCGGGTCGATTGACGGACGCGTTGCTAACACCTCGACGATTTTCCGATAAAAACGTGACATTCGAATCGAATCTTCGTGGTAGACAACATAATTATTACATGTCATTGGTTACATCGATTTGACAGCGGTAGGTTAACCTTTTCCAATTCCTTTTTTGCACTCTGATCTTAATAGCTCTTCGAAAACCGATTAAAAATATTTCTCTTTCCAAGTTAAAAAAAAAATTGTTTTTTTCTTGCCTTTTAAAGTTGGATTTTACTCATGCGTCAAGAGACCTATGTCATCCTAGTGGAGAGGAGGGTTATGACGCGGGGCACCGGAGTGGGAGTCTGTGAAAGGCACAGATCAGTGGCGTGGCATGCTTTGCGATATATCGATTGTTCTGCTATTTAAACCTATAGTGAAGAATCGATTATTAAGGTGTTCGCTGCGAACACCCTGATTATCGATCCTTTTCCAAAGGTTTAATTTACATAACAATCGATATATCGCAAAGCACGCCACGCCACTGGCACAGATCATCTGTTTTATAAAATCATCCGCCCTCTTCCTAAAAAAAAACCACTAGGAAAAATAAGATATTCTGGGAATTTGAAATGAAGAGGAAATTGAAATGGAAATGTGAAAGTTTTCCAATATATGCCCTCTTCATTTGAATGGTAAAATCCCATAGGCGCAAACTATGACGCGTAGATTCGAAGGTTGATGGCGATAACGGACGGAACGGTTCAAACATTTTTTTGAGGACCCCTAAGAAGGGGGCGTTCTATCTCCGCGGAAACAATTTGTCGTGAAAATTTACCACACGCATCGTTATTCTCATACCGAAAATGGTAGGAATCGACCAGTATTTACAGACAAATCCCTACCTCCGGAGCTCAACTGACTAAGTCTTCTTAAGCCCGGTATACAAGTGCTCTAATTTAACATGAAAAACAATTTAAAAAGCGGGTAACGAGACTAAAAGTTCACGCACAAGACTGAAACGTTTCGGCTAAAAAT